CATTATGGAGTCATGGTTGCAAGGATGTCAAAGCTGGGAACTAATATTTAGGGGTATGAAATTTTAGAAAAGGACATGCAAGAAAGAAAGGGCAGTGCAGTAGCATTGTTAAGCACAGAATGGAATAAGTATGATAACAAGAAGTAATCTTGAATTAGAAGATGTAGAATCTATACATGTGGAAGTTTTTTTTTAAAAAAAAGGGAAAGAAGACACTGGTAGAAATCATCTTTAGGCCCCACAACAGTGGCTACATTGTGGGACAGAGAATAAATCTGAAGACAATGTAAGCATATAACAAAGACAGTATATTAATCATGGATGACTTTAATCTTTACGGGATAATCAGATTGGCAGAAAAATTTAGTGTATCCAGCGTTGTATCCTGGAACAATATGTTGTGGATTGAACTAGTCATCAGCATATTTTGCATCTGGTGATGCGTAAGGAGGCAGGTTCAATAAATCATGTCAGAGTAAAAGATCTCCGAGGAAACAATGATCATAACATGGTAGAATTTTGCTTTTGATTTGAGAGGGAGGAACTTGGGTCAGAAACATCTGTGCTAAACTTAAATAGTGGTAATGACAAAGCAGTGAGGCAGAGCCAGCACAAGCAGACTGTGAAAAAGAATTTAGCAGCAAAGACTGTTGAGAAACGATAGCAAATGCTAGAGAAATTAGTTCATGGCTCACAGGAAAGACCGTAGTCCAGTGAGGATGAAAGATTCTAGAAAAATGATAAGCCAACCCCCATGGTTAACCAAGAAAGTTAACAATTGCATCAAATTGAATGAAAAAATACTATCAAGACTGACAGCAAGACCTTGTTTAAATGTATAAACAGGAAGAGAGAAGCCAAAGAGAACACAGGCCCCTTAGAGAATGTAGTTGGGAAAATAATACTGAAGAACCAGGAAATAGCAGAGGATTTGAATTTAAATTCATGGTAGAGGACTCTAATAGCATTTCAAAATTACTAAATCTTTAAGGGGTAAAAGGAATAGAGGAAATAAATACAACAACTACCATTAGAGTTAAAGTACTTGAGAAACTAATAGAGCTAAAGACCCCTGGACCTGATGGGATGCGTCATAGGACATTAAAGTAACTAGCTACAGAGATATTGGATGCACTGGTAGCAATCTTCTGAGAATCCTTAGATTCTGAAAAGTCCCAGAGAACTGGAAAACTGCCAATGAAACACATTTCGTTTAAGAAGTGAAAGAGATCCAAAAAAAATAAAAGTCATGACCAGTTAGCTTAATGTCTGTAACTGGGAAAGTGTTAGGGTATATTATAACGCGTGTAATAGCAGACCTTTTAGAAATACATAGTAGGATTAAGCAAAGTCAGCATGGCTTCATGAAACAGAAATCATGGTTGATGAATTTACTAGAATTCCTTGAGGAGCTAACAGGCAAGATAGATAAGAGGGAAGCAGTAGGTATAATATATTTGAGTTTTCAGAAGACATTTGATCAGGTACCATATATTAGACTACTTAAGAAGAGCCCATGCTGTTGGAAGTAGTATCTTAACATGGATCAAGGATAGGCTAACGAATAGACAAAAAGAATTGAGATAAGGGGGCGTGTTTTCAGGCTGGCAGCCTGACACTCGTGGTTTGCCATAGGGATCAGTGCTGGGGCCATGATTATTTACAATATATGTTAATGATCTGGATGAAGGATGTGAATGGATACTTCTGTCAAGTTTGTGGATAACAAAAATAGGTGAGAATGCAAGTGGTGATGATGACATAGTCTGTTGAGGGATTTAGACAGGTTAAATAAGTGGGCAAAAATTTAGCAGATGGAGTATAATGTGAGAAAATGTGATGTTATGCAATTTGGTAGGAAGATTAGAGTAACTAAATATTACTCAAATAGAGAAAGATTGCAGAAAGTTACAGTTCGGGCATTTGGGAGTTCTTGTCCGTGAGTCGCAAAGTTCAATGTGTACTAATGAAGGAAAATGGAATATTAGCCATAATTTCTCATGTAGTGTAATAGTAAGCAGCATTTGCTAAAACTATACAAGGCACTCATCAAACCACAGCTGAAATACTGTGAATAGTTTTGTTCCCTTATCTAAGGAAAGATATACCGGCATGAGAGGCAGTCCATAGAAGGTTCAGTAGGCTGATACCACATATGGAGGGACTGCGTTATAAGGAGAAGTTGTGTTGGTTGGGCCTGTAGTTGTTGGCATTTAAAGGAATGAGAGGCAACCTTATTGAAACAAACAAGATTCTTGGGGGACTTGACAGGTCAAATACAGAATACAGGGTTAATGGCAGGATTCTCGGCAATGTGGAGGAACAGGGATCTTGTGGTCCACATCTATAGATTCCTCAAAGTTGCTACCCAAGTCAATAGGGTTGTTAAGAAGGCATATGGTGTGTTGGCTTTCATTGGCAGGGGAATTAAGTTTAAGAGCCACGAGGTTATGCTGCAGCTCTATAAAACCCTGGTTAGACCACACTTGGAATATTGTGTTCAGTTCTGGCCGCCTCATTATAGGAAGGATGTGGAAGCTTTAGAGAGGACTGGAGGGCAGGTCTTATGAGGAAAGGTTGAGGGAGCTAGGGCTTTTCTCTTTGGAGCGAAGAAGGATGAGAGGTGACTTGATAGAGGTGTACAAGATGATGAGAGGCATAGATAGAGTGGGTAGTCAGAGAATTTCTCCCAGGACAGAAATGGGTATTACGAGAGGGCATAATTTTAACGTGATTGGAGGAAGGTCAAGGGGAGATGTCAGAGGTAGGTTCTTTCCACAGAGTAGTGGCTGTGTGGAATGCGCTGCTGGCAGTGTTAGTGGAGTCAGATACTTTAGAGACTTTTAAGTGACTCTTGGATAGACACATGGAGGATAGTAAAATGTAGGGTACGCAGAGTAGTTTGATCTTAGTAGGATAATAGGTTGGCACAACATCATGGGCCGAAGGGCCTGTACTATGCTACATAGAACATAGAACAGTACAGCACAGTACAGGCCCTTCGGCCCATGATGTTGTGCCGACGTATTATCCTACTAAGATCAATCTACCTTGCATATCCATAGAAATGTACTGTTCTGTGTTTGAGAGAATCCAGCAACAGAGGCCATAATGTCAGAATAAGGGGTTGTACCTTAAAGACAAATGAGGAAGAATTTTTGAGGATCGTGAATCTGTCAAATTCTTTAGTGCAGAGAGTTGTCAGAGCTGGATCATTAAGTACATTCAAGGCTGAGATGGATCAATTTTTTTTGTAATCAGAAAGAGAATCAAGGGTTATGGGGAAAAAGGCAGGAAAGTGGAGTTGGGGATTAACGTATTAGCTATGATCTCATTGCATGGCGGAGCAGACTCAATGGGCTAAATGGCCTACTTCTGCTCCTATGTCTTATCTTAAATTACCCTATGCCAGTTTGCTCGTAGCTCAGCTATTAATCTTGACATTATTACTGTTGAGGTTCTGTTTTTAATTTACATCTTTGCTGCTCAGACTCCCTTTGCAGGACCTCCTTTTGTCCTGTGTCATTGGTAACCACAAAGGCAAAACATCTGAATCCTTCCCATCCCAATCGAAGTTCCTCATTAGCCTATGAAGCTATCTTGAACCTAGGCATTAGACAGCCTGTGCAGCCTTTGGGACTTGATGTGAGTAGGAGAGAATAGTATCTATCCCCAAATTGTGCAGTTTTGCTTCCTACACCATGATGTCACAGTCAGATTGCTCATCCTCCCTGCTGTCATCCACACAAGCTGTGAAGACCTTCTAACCTATTTGACAAATTGCAATGGCTGAAGATCTCCACCTTCTGGATTCACATACTTGTATCTCTTAGTCACACCACCCCATTCTTAGCCAAGAGCCAGACTCCAAGTACCTAGCCTAATTGGTGTTGTGGCCCTCTAGAACATAATGTCCAGGTAACTTGCCTTTCTTAATGCATCGCACTGTTGGAAGTTCAGACTCCAACTCATCAACTTTGAACTAAGTTCCTCAAGCTCCAAACAATTACTGCAGATGTAACTGTTATGGGTCCCTCGTGCTTTATTTATCAGATCAGGTTCAGAAGTATCATTGAACAAATGTCAAGTGGTTTAATTAGCTAAGCAGTGAGTTTAGTACAGTACTTTAACGTCTCAACAGTACTTGCTTAGAGCACAAAAACATGTAACATGGTCAATATACTTTGCTAGAGAAAATTGCACTGTATTTCTTGGTTGATAGCTTTTGAGGAACAAGGAAGAAACGAGGCTCTAAACAAAAGAGAAAAGAAAGGTGTACATTTATATATATATATATTTTTTTTTTAAAAAAAGACATCTCAAAAGTGTTTTACGGCCAATTCAGAACGTTTAAAATTGTGGCCATTATAATGGAGGAAAGATAGCAGCTAATTTGTACTCTCAAATTCCTCACAAGTAGCAGTTGATAAAGGCCAGTTAATTTGAATTCGAGAGCTAGGCGTTGACCAGGACCAAAGATAACTTCCCTGTCCTCCTTCAGAATGGTGCTGTGGGATCTTCTACATCCTTTGCATGGGGTCTTTGCGAAAAAAAGACCAAAGTATTGCAGATGCTGGAAATCTGAAACAAAATCAGCAATTGCTGGAGAAACTCAGTGGGTCTGGCAACATCTGTGAAGAGAAAGCAGAATTAATGTTTCTGGTCCAGTGGCCCTTCAGAATTAGATGGGACCTTTGCTTAATGTCTCGCCTGTAAGTCAGCACTTTTAAATGCTCACCTTTCTCATTTCGCATTGATGAGTTAGCTTAGATTTTTGTGTCCAAGTCTTGGGATGAAACTTGAAGCCAGAATGTTGGAACTAGAGGCGAGTGTGCTACCAACTGATTAATGGTGAAGATGGGAAATTTAGTAAGCAACTCAAAAAAAAATCCACTATTTCAAGAGTAGACTTAGAAAATGTTTCATTTAAATGTCTTGTCTAGAATTTTTAATGTTTTCATTCTTGTTTCTTTAAATTAATGCTTTTTTGTTTCCACAGGGAGCAAATAATTAGCATTGAAATTGTCAAGAATCTAGTTGAACCATGACGGACATAAAGAACTTCCTGTATGCTTGGTGTGGAAAGCGCAAGGTCACTCCAAGTTATGATATCCGTGCAGCTGGTAACAAGAATAGGCAAAAGTTTGTTTGTGAGGTATGATATTTTTAGTTTTATGTTCTGTGAATTTTGGCCTGTTTTCCAATTTACCCTGCCTCAGACCTTGTATGTCAATAACTGCCTGCACTCTGGCAACAGAAATAGGGAGTGTGGAATTTAGACTTTTGTGTTATAAATTGCTGGAGTTTTCCTGTTTTTGTGAGACCGTGTTTGAAATTGTTTACTTTGTGGCTAAGGTCAGACTTGGATATTTGCTGGTTTGAAATTTGGGTGGTTTTGACACTGAGAATCAGTTGACTTCCAGGCCTTTTAACATCACATACCAACTAGTTATTGTCAGGATGAATTGAATGGGCACCTAAGGAATTCTACCTTAAATATATCTATCCTGGTATTTCTGGTGAAAGAGACTGCAGTTCATTTGCTTGGGGGGAGAGAGAAGTTTCACCTTGGGCTCAAATACAATTAATCACACCAATGAATAAGTTAGATTAATATGTTTGGTATTCATGAAAAAGGGAAGTCCTAGAATAAAACAATATACAGTATAGTAATATAACTGCAAAATATATTCGATCATCTACACAATCTGTTGTCTGCCAAGCAGGCAGATACGCATCTGCTAAGCTCTTGTTTGCCCTGGTGTTTTAGTTTATGTTCCCTTCTAATTTTCAGCTAAGCATTCTCCTCCTACAATGTCATTTTACTGTTATATTGCCCCCTTCTTTCCTAAGTAATCTGTCATTTTCTTCCACTTCTGCAACACTTAATTCTTCGTGTTAAGCACCTGTGCCTAGCACACTTAGTTTCCTTTCCTGGGAAAAAGAAAGCTAATTAAAAAGGGGCTACATCCTTCTGTAATATTGTTGGAAACATTAGAGTCAGTCTTTCAGAAGAAGGGGGATGGTCAAGCAATCTGAAGTATCCTCATAAAAATACAGGTCTAACGCAAGAAGTGTCAGGAATAAGGGTGACGAACTTAGAGCATGGATCAGTACTTGGAGCTGCGATGTTGTGGCCATTACGGAGACTTGGATAACACAGGCTCGAATGGTGGTTGGATGTTCAGGGGTTTAGATGTTTCCAAAGAAATAGGGAGGGAGGTAAAAGAGGTGGGGGAATGGCATTGCTAGTCAGGGATGGTATCATAACTGCAGAAAGGGAGGTCGTCGAGGAGGGTTTGTCTACTGAGTCAGTATGGGTGGAAATCCGTAACGGAGCAGTCACTTTATTGGGAGTTTTCTATATACCCCCAATAGCCACAGAGACACTGAGGAACAGATTGGGAGGCAGATTTTGGAAAGGTGCAGAAGTAATAGGGTTGTTATCATGGGTGACTTCAACTTCCCTAATATCGACTGGAACCTCCTAAGTGCAAATAGTTTGGATGGAGCAGATTTTGTCACGTGTGTCCAGGAAGGATTTCCGACTCAACATGTCGATAGGCCGACTAGAGGGGAGGCCATATTGGATTTGGTGCTTGGCAACGAACCAGACCAGGTGTCAAATCTCTCAGTGGGAGATCAGTTCGGTAATAGTGATCACAACTCCCTGACCTTTACTATAGTCATAGAGAGTGATAGGAGCAGACGGCATGGGAAAGTAATTAATTGAGTGAGGGTGAATTACAATGCTATTAGGCAAGAACTGCGGAGCATAAATTGGGAACAGATGTTCTCAGGGAAATACACGACAGAAATGTGGAGGTTGTTTAAGGAGCTCTTGCTACGAGTACTGGATAGGTTTGTCCCACTGAGGCAAGGAAGGAATGGTAAGGTGAAGGAACCTGAGATGACAAAACATGTGGAACATCTAGTCAAGAGGAAGGAGGAAGCTTACTTAAGGTTGAGGAAGCAAGGATCGGACAGGGCTCTCGAGAGCTACAAGGTAGCCATGAAGGAACTGAAGAATGGACTTAGGAGAGCGAGAAGTGGGTATGAAAAAGCCTTGGTGGGTAGGATTAAGGAAAACACCAAGGCGTTCTAAACTCATGTGAGGAACAAGAGGATGGTCAGAGTGAGGGTAGGGCCGATTGGGGATAGTGGAGGGAACTTGTGCCTGGAGTTGGAGGAGGTAGGGAAGGTCCTTAATGAATACTTTGCTTCAGTATTCACCAGAGAGAAGGATCTTGACGTTTGTGAGGACAGCATGAAACAGGCTGAAACACTCGAACAGATTGACTTTAGGAAGGAGGATATGCTAAAAATTTTGAAAACATGAGGATAGATAAGTCCCCTCGGCCAGACTGGATATGCCCAAGGTTTCTACGGGAAGCGAGGGAAGAGATTGCTGCGCCTTTGGCAATGATCTTTGCGTCCTGTCTGTCCACTGGAGTAGTACCAGATGATTGGAGGGTGGCAAATGTTGTTCCCTTGTTCAAGATTGGGAATAGGGATAATTCTGGGAATTACAGACCAGTCAGTCTGTCTTCTGTGGTGGGCAAATTATTGGAGAGGATTCTGAGAGAGAGTATTTATGAATATTTGGAAAAGCACAATTTGATTAGAAATAGTCAGCATGACTTTGAGAGGAGCACATCATGCCTCAAAAGCCTTTTTGAATTCTTTTGAGGATGTGACAAAACACATTGATGAAGGTTGAGCAGTGTATGTGGTGTATATGGATTTTAACAAGGCATTTAATAAGGTTTCCCATGGTAGGCTCATTCAGAAGATAAGGAGGCATGGGATTCAGGGAAATTTGGCTGTATGGATACATAATTGGCTGTCCAATAGAAGACAGAGTGATAGTAAATGGAAAGTGAAGTATTTAGCCTGAAGCTCGGTGACCAGTGGTGTTCCGCAGGGATCTATTCTGGGACCTCTGCTCTGTGTGATCTTTCTTTATGAATGACTTGGATGAGGACGAGGAAGGGTGGGTTAGTGAGTTTGCCGATGACGTGAAGGTTGGTGGAGTTGTGGATAGTGTGGAGGGCTATTGTAGGTTGCAGCGGGACATTGACAGGATGCAGAGCTGGGCAAAGAAGTGGCAGATGGAATTCAACCAGGAAAAGTGTGAAGTGATTCATTTTGGAAGGTCAAATTTGAATGCAGAATACAGGGTAAATGGCAGGATTCTCGGCAGTGTGGAGGAACAGAGGGATCTTGGGATCCACGTCCATAGATCCCTCAAAGTTGCTACCCAAGTTGATAGGGTTGTTAAGAAGGCATATGGTGTTGGCTTTCATTGGCAGGGGAATTGAGTTTAAAAGCCATGAGGTTATGCTGCAGCTTTATAAAACCCTGGTTAGACCACACTTGGAATATTGTGTTCAGTTCTGGTCACCTCGTTATAGGAAGGATGTGGAAGCTTTCGAGAGGATGCAGAGGAGATTTACCTGGATGCTGCTTGGACTGGAGGGCAGGTCTTATGAGGAAAGGTTGAGGGAGCTCGGGCTTTTCTCTTTGGAGCGAAGAAGGATGAGAGATGACTTGATAGAGGTGTACAAGATGATGAGAGGCATAGATAGAGTGGTTAGTCAGAGAATTTCTCCCAGGACAGAAATGGGTATTACGAGAGGGCGTAATTTTAAGGTGATTGGAGAAAGATATAGGGGAGATGTCAGAGGTAGGTTCTTTGCATAGAGAGTGGTGAGTGCATGGAATGCGCTGCTGGCGGTGGTAGTGGAGTCAGATACATTAGGGACATTTAAGTGACTCTTGGATAGGCATATGGATGATAGTGAAATGTAGGGTATGCTGGGTAGTTTGATCTTAGGGTAGGATAATAGGTTGGCATAACATTGTGGGCCGAAGGGCCTGTACTGTGCTGTACTGGTCTATGTTCTAGCTTTATTGTGATTTTTGCTCGGGCAAAAACACGTGTCTGAATCATTGAGTGTATAAACTAAATATCATCGTATTTTGTCAAGCAGTCCGTGCTGTAAAAACTGTGAATTGGAAAGAGGAAACTGAGACAACATTTACACATGACGCTGTTTTATTTAGGTTCGAATAGATGGATTTAATTATACTGGCATGGGAAATTCTACCAGCAAAAAGGATGCCCAGACAAACGCCGCCAGGGATTTTGTCAATTACCTTGTTAGGACTGGAGCGATGAAAGCTGATGAGGTTCCCAGTTTGAAGGTTGTTGCATATTTAATCATTTCTTCCTTTCATTATTTGTATTATTCATTATTTCAGTAAAGCAATAGTTTTATTTGAAATTTACCTTTTGTGTTGTAGTTTGTATTTCATTATTGAACCAATTCTATTTGAGTGTTTAATCGTATCTCGGGATGCAGATGACTTTATGAAGCATTAAAAGCTCTTTCAACTTTTAGAATGCTTCAAACTACGTTCTATTTTCCCCTCCTGCCCTGATGAATTTATCAAAAGTTTTGGGTTGTTTTTGGTGTGAAAGCTTGTGGGCTATTAGCTTAGATAAATATTACAGAAGAGGAGTTTCACATGTTCAAAAACTTGAACTTAAATATGAATGAAAAACACCTAAAACTTGCATGTACCTCTTTTATGACACTTATTTTCAATTACAAAATTAAGGAGGCTTGTACAGAGTCATTTGCTTAATTCCACCAATTCCGTTCTTCTTGTACTTGATCTTGGCAGTCTATCTGATCACCTATTGACATATCATACATCTGTGAATGTGCACTTCGTGGATGTAAACTATTTAGTTAAATGTTGATTGTTACTTTATTTGATTTTTCATAGGGATTTGAACCTGATAGTGTTAATAGTGGTCAAAGTAGTGTGCTGGAGGAATTGCCATTTGGTGTGCCCAGTGCTCCTCGCTTAGCTGTGAAAAAAGAGCAAGGTGAGCCATTGTTTTTAAAGTAGGACCGTATCATGCATTTATAGTGCACTCTGAACATATTTCTGTATGTTTGGGAGGTGTTAAAACAGCAAGTGAAAGCTAATTCAAGGTGAAGTTTCTGTTTATTTCATGAAACACAAGTTAATATTTTCACCATTTGAGACACAAGCTGAGTTTAGGTAGTAATACCTGGCCTGTAGTGAGCTTAATCATTTGTCTATTATGATTATTTTTGTACGTTTTATTCTAAGTTCTTTGTAGTCACTTCCCCCACAGTTTTGTAGATGTTGGACACAGTGAGCATATATGTATTAAATACTAGCGCCATATGATTTTTACATGACAAAAAATGTCCATTGCTAACATATGTCTAAACTCTCATCTTCAGTTTCTTCATCAATGACCTGCCCTCTGCCAATAGTTTAGAAATGGGGATGCTTGCTGATGATTGCATAATGTTAAAATACTACTATACGTGACTCCTCAGTTACTGAAGCAGCCTAAATGCATATGTAAAAAATCTGGACAACATGTAAGCTTGGGCTGCTAATTGGCAAGTAGCATTCACACCACACAAGTGCCAAGCAGTAACTATCTCCAGCAAGACAGAATCTAATCATTGGCCTATTGACGTTCCAATGGCGTTACTGTAACTGAATCCCTCACTGTCAACATTTGTGGGGTTTACCATTCACCAGAAGTATACTGTGCCAATTATATAAATATTGTGGCTGTAAGAGCAGATCAGAGGCAAAGAGTCTACAGTAGGTAACTCACCAAAGTCTGCCCACCATTTACAAGGGATAAGTCAGGAATGTGGTAGAATACTGTGCACTTGCCCGGATGCATACAGCTCTAACAACACTCAAGATGCTTCTCGGCATCCAGAACAAAGCAGGTGGCTTGATTGAAACCCTTGACCACCTCCAACATTCACTTCCTTTACCATTGACACACACTGGAGACAGAGACGCACTGCAGAATTGTCACCAAGTTTCCTGCAACAGCACCTTTGCAAATCCATGACCTCTACCACCTAGAGGGCCAAAGCAGGCGGATGCATGCAAACATCACTGCATGGACTCCCCCTTGAAACCACACAACATTCTGACTCAGAACGAAATCACCAAAATCTTGGAATTCCCTTCCCAACAGCTCATTATATGTACAATAAGGACTGCAGCAGTTCTTGAGGTAGCTCAGGAGCACGTTTGCTAGCGCGTTTGGGATAGGCAGTAAATGTTGGCCTAACCAATGACACCCATATCTCAGAAACAAATTTTTTAAAAACCTTTACTTCCCAGAATTTGGCAGCCTTGTAAAAGTAGTGCCGTATTCCAGGAATGCAATTAGACAAAAAATATGACATGAGAATGACTCCCATTGACATCATGGCTGCATTTGATATCTTGGAGCCCAAGTAAAATTGAAGACTGGGAATCAGCGATAGTGTTCAACACTGCTGGACTGAGCACAAAGTAAGATGTTTTTATTAGAGTCCAGTCTTCTCACCTCCTGGACGATTCTGCAGGACTTCCTCTGGGTAGTGTCCTAGAATCAACCATCTTCATCAGTGACAATCTAAGGTCAGAAGCAATGTTTTGTCTAAGCTGCACATGCATCCGTTCCAGTGTCCTGTGCATGGCAATCAGCATCAGCATTGAAATTGAGTCCCAAAAGTCACTGCCACGTACAGACTTTGGAGGCCCACGAAACCTGAAAGAAAATTAGAGTGATCACTGTTCAAAAGTGGGAATGTTTGGTGCTGATTACACGTGTTCAGTACCGTTTACACCTCCTCAGAAACTGTAGTATTCCATACTTGCATGCATCAAGAGCTGATAAGTGGCAAAAAACATAAACTCCACACATGTGCCAGGCAGTGATTACTCCAAAAAGAGAGAATTTAACAACTTCCCTTTGATATTCAGCAACATTACTATAATAGAAATGTGATGCATCAATATCACTATTGTGACAATTCTGTGGCTGTAAGAGGTGTATTTTGTTGAGTTCTTTTTGAAGAGAGCTTTTAAGACCGGTGAAGAACTGTCTATTTGGAGCCAATAAAGTAAACAGCTTGTGAGGCCTTGGATTTTTTTTTTAAAGTTAGAACAATAGAAGCAGCATTAATGGGTGGAGTCAGGCTCCCATAGAACCAAGGTTTTAGTTGGAGTTTTGAAATGGTTTGTGGAAGCAGCTTACATCTCTCAGCTACAGCTAAGAGCTTGGGTTTTTGTGCTCTGTCAGAATCACATGTGACACTATGTATTTACTGATTTTTGCCTTTGTCAAAGGTGTGTTTATGGGATGTTACTATGTTGGAACAGTTTAGCAATTAAATAATCTACCATAACTCATAAAAGCTGAATTTTTTTAGACTTTATGGGGTCAACTGTTACATGGATAACACTTTTGAGGGGCTGAAATTCACGTTACAGTCCAAAATATCGTATTATTAGCAGAAGCCCAAGTGATCACTAAAAGAATAAAGAAAAACACAATGACTTGTGGTAATTACCTGACTCTAACCTCGTGTGTCTTAAACTTGTGTGCCAAATTCTTCCATTTCCCTCTGTTTTCTCTTGTCTACTGTCGTTTAAGTTTTTCAAACAACATTTTAAGCGTTTATTTTTGATAAAGTTATCTGACATTTGACTCTCCTACAGTCTCACCGAACATTTCCTCATTGTACCATTTATGTACAGGATAAAACCTTGACTCACAAATGTTGATCTGTTATCTGTGAAAAACTAGGGTTGACTTTTACCACGAGATATATGGAAAATTCCAGATCTTTTGGCCAAAAATAGGGGGTTGACTTTTACATGAGATCAACTTCTTTTCAAGTATATACAGTATTATTCTGTTAAGTTCTCCAATAGAGTTGAAGTTATACTAATTCTTTGTTCTTTTGTTTGCCTTTTAACTGTGTAGGGTAAGAATAAAATTTGTTTTGCTTAAAGCGGATTAGTGTAACCAATCAAATTACATCTGGAACGCAGCACCTTACACTTGCCTTTAAATAAGATAAAAGTTAGGGTCCAGGCTATCTCCTTGATCTATTTGAAGAGGGTTCGGTCTGGTCCATAGAACTACTCACTGGAAAAATAACTGAACCAGCAAGTAAATACTGTGAGCTGTACAGAGGTTGTATATTCAGTGGAAAGTAATTCACCTGACTTCCCAAAATATGTCCATTCAAAAGGCGAAAGTCAGGAGTGAGGGAATGCTCTCCCACGTGCCTAGATAAGTGCGGCTCCTAATGACATTCAAAAAGCTCAACAGCATCCAGGAGAAACAACCACTTCCTTAGCACCTATTCATAGTCTTCAATTTCACCACTGGTGTACTGTGACAGTAGTGTACCATCTACAAAATGTAATGAAGCAGATTGCTCAGATCCTTGTGATAGCTTCCAAACATGTGACTTGTACCACATAGAAGGGTGGGAAGACTGGATTTGATAGAAGTGTTCAAAATTATGAATGGCTTTGTCTCTTGTCATATACCCATCCCAGCCATCCCATGTTGTGACGTTTGTTTGTTTGGATGGTCAACTCCGTGTTAAATATTGCTTCTTGTAGTTCAAGTCCCTCTGACATGGCAGTCGCTGCTGCGATTTCTGCAAATGAAGGCTGAGGTCATGCACGCTTTTCTGAACTGTCCTTTTCCCTGGGTTCTCTTCTTCACCGCTTGAGCATTCCAATTTGTCTTATATCTTCCAGCGCCCCTCAAAACAGTAAACATTCATCCATCGTCGACTACCTCTCAGTTGCTTGTGTCCATCATCTTTGTATCTCATTTGCTGCTCCCTTTGTATCAGAAGTGCAGATGTCCAGAGGATTGTGACCTAGTAGCAAGTTCATTGTGTGGAACATCTTTGGGTATTCAGCTATCACTCACTGATGAATGTGACTGAGTCGACACATGTTAACTTAGCCGAGAGTGAATGCTGAATAAATTATCTTCCAGGACTCTTGCTTTGGTGACCTTGTTCTAGTTAAACCAAACTCCTTGCAGAGAGTCTTCTATTTGTTGCCGAAGATGTTCCTCTACGGTATGCTACTGCAACATCAGTTGTAGAGCAATTCTGAGGAACTTGTTTACCTTTGTCTTGGATCTCAGATGGGCAAGGCTGAACAGATTTCTCATTTCTGAGATATAACAAATGCTGTCGGTAGGTATCCAGAGAGCAGATGATTGTGATGTAAATTAAGAGAAACTGGTGATCGAAGGATTGATAGCTGGATATCATAGACTTAAGGTGATTGGCAATTTTTTCTTTTCAGACAGCAAGTTGTTGTGACCTCTAATGTACTGGTTGAAAGTATGGTGGAAGCTTTTTCGATGGCTAATTGAATAAATAGATGAAAAAGGGAAAATTGGGAAATCAGAAATAAACAGTGAATGGGATTAATTGGTTAACTCAATCAAACAGCCAGTGGAGGCATAATAGGATCTTCCTCTGCCATAACATTTTATGAGTCAACTAAGGCAGCTCTTATTAGAATTGATCAGGATTTAAATGTGGTAAATTTGTAAATTTCTGTGCACCACAACCTAATTGAAAATATAACTAGTTATTTTATGCGTAATAGTGCCCTTATGCGAAATGGTTTTTGTACTGGTCCTTTTTTTAAAAAAAAAACTCAGGTTTATGTTGTTATGATTACATAAAGCACCAGCAACTTGAAAGCATTATCAGTGTGCTACTAAATTTGATCTGAGTGTGTTGTAGAAAGAATTATAAAAATGTTATTTAACTACTATTGGTTGAATGGTTTTGTGTTTGCAGATGTTGACTGTGGAGGGGGCAGAGGAGGTGGACTCAGTGGTTACTGGGAACGTGGAGCCAATTTAAAGGAATATTATGAGAGGAGAGATGAACAGGAAGCCCAAGCAGTAAGAGATTATGTATATGGTGTTAAGAGTTGTATTGTAAATGTCTTCAAACCTGTAAAGGGTATTTTCTGTGCAACACATGTTAATAAATGAGATTTTATTTCTTTTTAAAAAGGATTCTGCTAATTCTGGAAAACCAGAATAAAAACAAAATGCTGCAAGTACACAGCAGGTCTGGCATCATATGTGGAAGAAATATCATTGTGACCTTTTATCAACATTTTTTTTGTGTGAAATCCGTTGAATTTTGAATCTGTTGTACTAAGTTATGTAAAAAAACTGAAATGTATATAAAGAGATGAAACCTTTGAATGGAAAGTTGCTCAGATTGTCTTTCGACATTGTCAATTCAGAAGTATGTTTGTGCCTGTTTTCATATCTAACTGCATAACGAATAGAGTAAATAATCAGACATGAGATCCCTTAGTCTCACAGTGGGTCACTGTGTGGTGTGACCTTGGGCCACACAAGGAGTTTTGATCTTTGATCAAATGCAGTGGCACTGTAATTGGTGTTGATGTCTTCAGATTATGTAATGAGCAAGATTAGCTAAGATTCTCACTCCTGGAAGGGTACATAACAACACTGCTTGGAAACAGGATCAGACTTTGTTGTAATGGATCCTTGGCAAGTGGGAGTAGGGATGCTGTCCAACACCATTTTGACCTGTCTTTTCCTAGTTAAAATACCAGTTGACATTCAGAGTTCTCTATAACCAAGAGGTACACCTAAGTGCTCAGCACATTTGGAGTCCATTTAGATACTTGACCATTACAGGAATAAATGCATTATTTTATGGTATTTCTTATTTATAAGGTTTTTAAAAACTTAGTCATGACAACTTGTATTTAGAGAAAGTAATTTTTATGTAAGAAAAAAAAATTTCCCTCCCCAGACTCTGGAATCTGAAGGCTTGGATTTGAATGCTGGTCTTCATGGCAACTGGACACTTGAAAATGCCAAAGCTCAACTTAATCAATTTTTCCAAAAAGAGAAGATTCAAGCAGATTATAAGTATTCACAAGTTGGACCTGACCACAACAGGTTTGGCATATTTTAATTTGAATCAGTTGAGCAGTTCTTTAATAGTAAGCTCTATGGTTTTTATTACATGCAATTCTGAGATGGTAAATTAGTATCCTTTTAATCCCTACTTCTTAAATGAGGCTAAATTTCAGTGATGGGAGCAATGTAGCTGTTGCCTGCATGGTTTCCCACATTAGTGATGAGGGCACAGCTGTGCTTAATGTAAAAGCAGTAATTCTTCCAGGGGCTACACAATAAAGAATAACATAGCTTTAAAGTTGTAAGTTCACCTTTTAAGATTAGATACTCTTGCAATTCTATCCTGATGAATGTAAGATGAAAAGCTTCAATGGCATGTCATCCCTTTAGCAGGAACCAGGTTATGTGCTACCGAGTAATACCTAGTTGAATAGGTATTTCATAATTTATTTTCTATCTGTCATATTAAGTACATCAAATGTATGCTCTTTAAATTCAGAAAATCATTACGAAGAATTACAAACGTTGCAAGCTACTATTAAATGTATCAGATTTGGCCCAGTGGTAGTATACATCTCTATTTGAAGATTGTGGAGTGAAAATGGACTTCAGAGATGTAAGCACGTATTTGGCAGATTCTTCAGTACTGGAGAAGTGTTGCACAGTTGAAAATGCTGTCTTTGGATGAAAAAGTAAACGATAAGTCTGTCTGCACCCTTGGATAGATAAACTGTAGTCCATGCAAAGATTACCATAGGAATAGCATTATCCTGGCTAATATTTAACCCTCCAGTAACCTCCCAGGGAAAGACCTCTGCTTGTTAATGCTATTACAATAATTAACAAATCAAATGCATATTATTGAGAAGTGCTTGCATTGCTTTTAGGACTGAAGTGGTGTATTGTAAGTTCTACTTATTCCTTAAGCTACCAGAATTTCTTACTTGTTATTTCCTAAATTGGGCATTAGTTGGGTACTTGTACACAAAATAACTTGAAAATACAAGAGAAATCATTTGAAACTTTTTTTGCCATGAGACTGCCAAGGTGACAGAGACTGCCAAGGTGACAAAGGTGCATTATGCTCAAAATAAACTTCTAATATTATTCAAATGTAAATTCTTGTTTGTTTTCTAGTTTTTATCTAGCTGTCCTGGACCTTATATCAAAAGTACTGCCAGTGCTGACCAGTAGTCCTCCAGGTTATTGACTGCCATTCTGAACAATCTAATGGGTGCATGAGAACTTGGTTTTTTCTGCTCATTTGATCTCCCATCATGCTTTGGGAAAATATGTAAGAATCAATAAAAAAAGGCCAGAAATAAATAGAGTTCAGGGAATTAGCAGAAACACACTTCAAGATCCATCTGCAGCCTCATGATGCTTTTATTGAGCTTGGTAACAATGCTGTAGGATGAACTTAATGCTGAATGCTAAATGGCTTGTGCCTCATTTTATCTGTTTGAACTGTACAGCAACTGTTCAATGTTTAAGGAGTTTAATCTTTAGTAATGTAGATTTTATCTACGTAACATAAAATGAAATTTTAGCAAAGCTGTAGTGTATTGTTTAGATTACATTAAGATTTTTTAGTTGCTTTTGAATATTTCAATATTAAAGTATAAGGTTTGTGTTTTTCTGATCCTTTATCTCAGTAGAAATGACTGAATGTTGTTATGCACTTTGAAAGAGAAAGGAGCAGGGAAGTAATGTGTTGTATTAGCTTGTCCAAAAGAGATTTGGAGGAAAAACACTTTTAAAATTATTCTTAAAAAATGTTTCTGTTACAGCTGATGGTGCTTTCTTTTGATTTAAAAACTGAGGTGTTCCATACTTCATGGTATGGTACCAGTATGTTTCTCAGCCAGCTTGCCTTTGTTATATAGAGCTTTCTGTGGGGTAGTTGTCCAGTACCCCTATGAATGCTAAGAACATTTAAGTATGATATAGTAGACACCTGCTATTTTGGAAATAAATAAACGGATGTGTATAATTCTGTTGGACTTCAGGCTGCAATATATTGTTCAAAAATGATTTCCGTTTATTTAGAAATTTTATGACTGCTTGGCCAAATAGCAGGAATCTACTGTACAAACTGTATTACTTTTGGGAAAGTACTAAATTATCACATTTCATGCTATCTCCTAAAATATAATGCAACTTTGCATGGTAATATCTTGAATGTGCAACATTGATGCATTTCTACTTTAAAGTGCAGTGGCAAATATTTTTACAGCAGAGATGAATAGGTAGAAAGCTAAATAAAAGTGACGACAAACGTGTCACTCCTTTAATCTGTCATGGGGTGAGGTGACACCAGAAATCTCTCTTGCAAACATGTGATGTTGCTTAGGCTGCACTAAGCTATCACATGGTATCCTTCCATTGTAGGAATGATGGTACAAGCAATCATAGATAGCTGTTGATTTCTGGTGTCACTTTTCCTATAGGTGTTCTAGGGGACCTAGGGCTGATGGAGATTGGAATTTTACTGAGTTTGGCAGAGAAACATACTGGCATCCAAGGATGGTGGATATTGGGCCTATTGACAGGCTTCTCTGAATCGTGAAGTTGCTGTGCTTGATCTCAGTTGACCCAATATAGGATCAGAAGTGAGTTATACAGATTAAAAGCATGCATGGTGCTGAAGAAAAACTGGATACCAAGAACTAGATTCCAGGACTGAGTCATAAATGGACAGGGTAACCTATTTTTGTCAATATCTTTGGAAATGCACAACCAAACTTGTTTGTGGATTTATGTGTGAAAATAATCCTAAAAATTGAATTCTATGACTGTACAACAGTTCGTTTATTCTTTACCGGAACTAGCCATTCAGGAAGATAGTTCCATCTCACTAGTTTTTCATTCAGATGCCAATGCATGGATAAAATTAACTATATTTGTATATATAGAGTGCTGTGAGTATAAATGTTCCTGTTTATGCTAAATACATGAATCGTTTTCTGAAATACATCTCATTGACTTTTTTTAAAATTGCAGATATTGTGCAGTCTTAAAATCTTTGTATGTTGCGTTCTGTTTTCTTTCGTTTATATCAGTGCATGTATTTGAGCTTATCTCCAATAGAAAATAGCTCTCTGAATTTACTACATCGATGAGTATTCAGTTTTATGTCAATTTTATGACTCTGACCAGAAGCTGAAAAAACTGCATGCAAAAGATTAAATACTTAAGATAGAGCATAAAGTCCTTCATGAGTAGGAAATTCACTGGCTTTTAGTGAACATTGTTTTGTTATTTACATCAATCCTTTATTTTGTTTGTATCACAGGTAAAAAGTGAATTCATAATTGAGTGTGGGATTTATTAAATGCTTCCATGCCATGATTGGCAAATATTTCTAAAATAATCCAAAATTTGTATATGGCAAACATTGGGTTTCCTAAGTTGCTGTACTTAATTGTGATTTACAGTAGGATGATGAAAATCAGCCAAAATTTGGCTTGTGAAACTTAATGACTTCCATACAATGTAATCCCTACCAGTTTTGGAATGGTCTTTGGCATCCTCCAGAGGTCCCCAGCATCACAAATGCCAGTCTTCAGCCAATTTGATTCACTCCATGTGATATCAGGAAACGACTGGAGACACTGGACACTGCAAAGGCTATGGGCTCTGACAACATTCCGGCAATAGTACTGAAGACCTGTGCTCCAGATCATGCCATGACCCTAGCCAAGCAATTCCAGAACAATTAGACTACATTGGCATCTACCCGACAGTGTGGAAAATTGTCCAGGTATGTCCTGTACAAACAAAGCAGGACAAATCTAACCTAACCAATTACCACCCTATCAATTTCCTCTTGATCATCAGTAAAATGATAGAGGGTATCATCAACAGTGGTATTGTGCAGCATCTGCACAGCAATAAGTTGCTTGCTGATGCTCAGTTTGATTTCCAGCAGAGCAACTTAGCTCCTGAGTTCATTACAGCCTTGGTTCAAACATGGACAAATGAGCTGAATTCACAGGTAAGGAGAAAGTGACTGCCCTTGACATCAAGGCTGTATTTAAACTGATTATGGCATCAAGGAGCTCTAGCAAAACTGGAATTAATAAGATTCGGGGAAAGCTTGGAGTAATATTTGGAGCTTGGAGTTGGAGTCATATTTGACATGAACAAAGGTGGTTATGGTAGTTGGAGGTCACTTAGTCAGTTCCAAGACATACTTGTAGGTGTTCCTCAGGGTAGTGTCCTTGGCCGAAGGATGACTTCATCAATTACCTCACAGTAAGCTCAGAAGTGGGTATGTTCACTAATGACAGTTGTAACTTCTCCACCACTCGTGACTTAGCCATCAGTGTTGTGCCAGTAATATGCTAATAATTGGCATTGTTTAACTGATGCTTGTATTTGTTTCTGGATCTCTTTGAAGTATGAGCTTGTTTACTGTTTAGACATCTGACCCGCTTAGAATCTCAAACACAGGGGACATTTAAACTCTCTCAAATTCTAGATCACTGTCTTCAGCAGTTTTGTCTCCTGTGTCTGATGCATTTACACAGAATGCTATATTGCCACTTAAACAATTACACCTGTAGTTTTAAAAAAAAAGTTTGTTTACTATTATTCAGAATGTACTGGGCATTAATGAAATTTATTATAAATTTCAGTATCAGTGGTTTGGTGGAAGTGCTGAAATGACAGCGTTAATTTCATGTTGTGCATGTCATTTTCAGGAGTTTTATTGCAGAGATGACTATTCACGTGAGACAGCTGGGAAGAAGTAAGTACCCATTTAAATTTTGATGTGAATGGCTTTACTCTTGACCTTAGACCTTTATAAACAAAGTTATTTCAACAAGCTGCAATAACAGCTCAGCTGCCATGTGCGAGTCTCTAAATCAACATCAGCCCAGCAAATCGCGTTCATCTTTCGAACTAATGAAATATATTGAGAACAAAACTGATAATTCTTGACGTAACGGTTTAAAATTGGGATTGCTTTCTAAAGTTGAGGGATTTTGTTTTCAAGTTTTTCAATGGACACAATATATCTGCAATATTCTGCCAATATATTCCTATCATCCATTGTTGGATATTGCTCTGCTCCTCGAATCTTTTTCTAATTCTGTGGGAGATTTCCCCAAGCTGATGCAAAATTTGAAAATGCCTAACAAGGTAAGTGCAATGAAATTAATTTTAGCCAATAAGGCATAGGAACAGGAGTTGGCTGTTTGGCCCCTTGAGCCCGTTCGCCATTCAGTTGGATCATAGCTGATCTGACATTTCTCACGTCCGTTTCTTGCCCTTTCCCCGTAACCTTTAATTCTCCTGCTGATGAAGAATCTATCTCAGCCTTAAATATATGCAAAGACTCTGTCCTCGCAGCTTTCTGTGACAAGGTGTTCTAAAGACTCAACCCACTGAGAGAAACAATTTCCTCTCATCCCAGTTTTAAAATGGTGCTCCTTATACCTGAGACTATGCTGTTTGGTTCTAGATTCTCCCATGAGGTGACATCCTCTTAGCATTTGCCTTGTCGAGACTCTTAAGAATCCTATATGTTTGAATGAGAGCATCTCTAATCTTAAACTCCAGTGAGTACAGTCTCAACCTGTTGAGCATTTGCTCATAAGATGGTCCCTCCATTCCAGGGGATTATCACCGTGAAATGTCACTGAACTGCCTCCAGTGAAATGATAGCTTTCCTTAAATAAGGGGACCAAAACGGCTCTTAGTACTCCACATATGGTCTCTCCAGCACTTTGTATATTTGCATGAAGAATTTCCTCCTCTTGGATTCCAAGCCCTTCAAATAAGGGCCAACATTCCATTCTCCTTTCTGATTACCTGCTACACCTGTGTGCTGGCTTCCTGTGTTTTGTGCACAAGTACCCCCAAATACCTTTTGTGTTGCAGCTTTCTGGAGTTTTTCTCCAGTTAAATAATAATCTGTATTTTTTTTTTGTTCTTCCATCCAAAATGAACAAGTGGCATCTAAAAGTCAGAGGAAACATTGAGCATTATAGTGATTGAAGAGAAATAAAATATACAAAAACAGAAATTGCTCAAGGAAGTTCAGCAGGTCTGGTCTCATCTGTGAAGAGAAAACAGAGTTAATGTTTTGAGTCCAGTGACCCTTCTTTGGAAACCTAAAACTAGTTCTGAAACATTAAGACAGATTCATTTGAAGTCTCACTTGGAAGTGGACATGGTGAAAATAAGACCCGTCAGAGTCTTATTTGTGTCATACACTTCAAATAATTCTCCTCTTCCTCATGCCTGTACTTGAGATTATTTTGAATTTTATGTTTCTGTGCAATTGTCTATTTAGATTATTTTCTTCACAAGTACTTTTAAGGTACAGTGCGAATATGTGGCAGCTATGTCAAAGATTATCCATTCTAGTCCTAACTAACTGATGATGAGTTGCCATTGTAATTTGGCTAAAGCTCATTTACTCAAGATGTATTCCTTTTTGCCAGATGAACTTTTCCGGACTGAATTTAATCAAATAAGTAGGAAGAAACCAGCACAGTTAACACAATAGTGAAATATTCCAAGTATAGTTTACAAACTTGAAGATAATGAGCACACTTCTAAAATAAATGTATGTGTACATAGATAACAAGGTGTAGAGCTGGATGAACACAGCAGGCCAAGCAGCATCAGAGGAGCAGGCCCGAAATGTCAGCCTTCTTGCTCCTCTGATGCTGCTTGGCCAACAGATTTAAGGACTGCTTCTTCCCTGCTGTTATTAGACTTATGAACAGATCTCTCATATATTAGCGTTGATCTTTCTCTGCACCTTCTCTGTAGCTG